AGTCGACTCAGCAGAAGTAAAAAGGCAACACAACTAGACTTCGTGAGTCGACTCATGATAGTCATGGGGTCGACTCAACCTGATGAGTCGACTCGTGATGAGTCGTGAGTCGACTTACGGGCTAAAATCTACATGTATCACAACTGCAACTCGTCCATCTCGATCCATACTTCCACTATACTGATCTACGCCTCCTTAACTATCAATTCTAAACTATGAGGCAGTGAAAGAATTCGTACATGGCATGAGAAAAGATTACTTGCATGTTAAACCTAACTTTTAAACCCCTAATTATGAAAGAGAGCATTCAGTCAAAATAAAACTCATATTTTCATTTCTTTAAATAAATTTCCAGATCTGGGTTTTCATCAAAAACTTGTTGGTGGGGATTTAAAATCCGAAATACATGATTTCTAGCATTAACCCTAACAAGGATATTGACTTATACTTGAAAATAAGTCTTAGGCTCAATAAAACTTATGGAAAACAGTTATAAACTATTAAAAACATAGGAGAAGGGTTGGGCGAGATGTTACTCGCCTTAGAAGTGATGATGAACAATCCCCTTCGCTGCAATCCAAAAGAAACTGCCGAACAATCCTTTGAAACGTCCCAAAATCACCAATAACACCTAGGGTTTGAGAGAGGAGAGAGGGGGACTAGGGTTTCTGGGGAGAACTGATGAAAAATGAAGTGTTTTCGGATAGAGGAGCATATATATAAACAGTTAAAACCCGACCCGAAACCCAAACAAACCCGACCCAGAAAAACCCCGATGAGTCGACTCATGACAGTCATGGGTCGACTCATGACTCATGGGTCGACTCATAATATAATGAGTCGACTCAGTAGAGACTTATGACAATGGGAGATGATATCATGAGTCGACTCATGATAGTCATGGGTCGACTCATGAGCTGAGAACTGAGTTTCTTCGACACTGATGCTTATGATTTGCAAGTTTGAAAACTCAACCTCATAACTGATGTATATATACATTCTCATAAACTCAAAAATGCTCGATTTCATGAGCAACCATATCATAAAGATATTTATCATCAATAAATATTATTTCTCACTAATAGTGACATATATAAATTATCAAAATCTACGGGGTCTTACATTATTTTCATTCAATGTTATGTGCTTGAGTTTAGTGGTTGATAGATATGAATATCTATAATGAATTGATGCACTGATTGAACTGAAGAAGTTTTGATGGTAGGTTGTGATAACTATAGCCTATTGGGCCATATTATGCAAGTGATAATTGTATGAGATGGCAGTGGAAGAACTTGATAAGCACTGAGCAAGTTGTATTGGCTACTCAGTTTGTGTATATTAATCAGTTTTTTTCGGAGCAATGTAAACACTCGATGACCTATTATGTGTTGCATGACCAATTATCCACCTCGACGATGGGTCCTCGCTTAATTTTCCAGCTTTTGACAAAGTATAGCATTTTATGGAAAAGTATAGCTGCTTATTGATAAAGTATAGTACCTTATGATAAAGTATATCACCTTATGGCAATAGTATAACACCTTATCGATAAAGTATAGCACATTATGGTCTCTGAAAATTTAGCAACTTATTGCGTTGCGATAAACCAAATTATTTTTTTAGGGCTATGCAAACAAGTGATGACCTAAGTTATGTGTCGCGTGACCAATTATCCACCTCGATGAGGGGTTGTCGCATAATTTTCTAGCTTTTGGTAAAGTATAACACTTTATGGGAAAGTATAGTAGCTTATTGACACTACTAGAAACATGACCTTTAGCGACAGACAAATCCGTCGCTAAAAGTCAAAATCCGTCGCTAAAACTTTTAGCGACGGAAAAAATAAAATTCTGTTGCCAAAATAACGTCCGTACATTGAGGGTAGCTAAAATCACTTTTAGCGACAGATTTTCCGTCGCTAAAAGTCAGCGACGAAAAATTAGCAACGAAAAATCTGTCGTTCTATTTTTTTCAAAAAAGAAAAAAAATATATTTCCATCGCTAAAAGTAACATTAGCGACGGATTTTCTGTCGCTAAAAGGGTCTATAGCGACGGAAAATCCATGGCTAAATATTTCTAATATTTTTTTAAAAAATATTTTGAAAATTAAAAAAATCTATACAATAATATAATAAATTTAAAACCTGTTCAATCAGCAGTATAATATTCATTCTCACACATATGTAACACATATATTTTAATAAAAATATCCTAAGATAATTAAAATTGTTTATACAACACACACCATGATAAATATTGTTTATACAGCACACACTCATTGTTTTCAAAGGTAAAAAAACAAATCAGTCCTCCTGATCATCATCATCATCATCATCATCCTCATCACCAGCTCCACCTTGTCTAGAAGTCCAGGCCTGCAAATATAAATCAAACGTTAACAACATGGCATGACATGTAAGTATAACAATAAGAGAGTATCATGACTATTCTTAAGTATTATATGTTTCGGAGAGAGTATCATGGCATATTCTTATGTATTATACGCACGCACATATTCTTATGTAAAGATAGAAAAACTGAACAACAAATGGTTAATGCTCATTTCCTAACACACCACGCCGATATCAACCCCTAACTAATATACTAAATGTTTTGATACTGCTGCGTATCAGCATAGCACCATAAACCCTACAGAGTAAAAAAAAGACATTCAACGAGTGCCTACTCCATTCTATACCCCGCCTAGCTCAATTACTTAACTAACAAGTTCCATCCAACACTTAATTAATATGCATAAAAAAACCCATCCAACACTTAACAGTATCATAATGATATCTAACATAGCAAAAAATTAACAAGCAAAAGAGAATAACGATGTAAAATACCTTTTCACCACTATCATTACCAACCACCCGAATCTCAAGTCCAACACAAGCAGCTTCAGGTGCAAGAGGAATTTCCTCATATTTCAGGAATTTAATTGGTTTAGGATCATAACAAAAGAAACCAAAGTGTTGCTTTTAACCCAATTATTTTACATGCATTTCCTCCCTCGATCACTTAAAACTTGAAACCTAGAGAATTAGTATTGCTTTTAACCACTGGCAACATTGCCGCAGAAATCAAAATCAAATGAAAGCACCAACAACAGAACGTTCAATCATCCTTAAAATAGACATCAACAACAAGTCTGAGATCGTCTCGGAATTAAACAAAATCCATTCTACCCAACGAAACTAACATGATATCTCAAAATTACTTCCATTTTTCTTTTTAAAAAAAAATTCCTGCTAGATTGAGAGAAGGAAATGACCTAGTCGCCCTCTCAAAAACTCAGCTTGGTGCGGCGCCAGTGCCTCCGCTTCGCGTTGTACCTGACAAATTACAACAAAGACCAGAAGCAAGCGATCAAAACTTGCACCAAAATAAAAAAATAAAAAAATAAAGAAAAAAAGAGGCCGAGCGATGGAGAGCTGAGACCTGATCGTGTTATCGGTCTGCATGCGGATCCAATGGGGAATGGGCCTGTTCTGCCTCATCTTCTTCGCCAGCTTCTTCTTGATCACGAACGACTTGTGCGAAGGCTGCAGCAAAATCAAAAAAGGATGAGAAACCCTGATTCGCAAAATTAGGGAAGAAGTGAGATCGAGGGAGGTCTACCATTTTCGCTGTCAGACGATGGAGGCGGCGGGAACCCAAAAACCCCACCAAGCTCAAGCTCCTCCTAACCCTCCGGCGAGCCTCGACGGTGCCAACATCGCCGAAGAAATCGTCGATAAGGGATCCGAGGAGGGATTTGAGGAGGAAGGAGGAGATGAGAGGGAGGGAAGCGGAGGGGAGAGGGTGGGGGAGGAGAGGGGAGAGAGAGAGGTGGAGAGAGAGGGGGCGGCAGGTCGGCGGGTTGGCG